TATGATTAGAACATTATAAAAGTAGACATGTGGAGATGAACAAAACGTGACCCGTCTCTTAGATGCGTCTCAACCACAGACCTTATTTCCAGCTATTTTCCTAAACCCTATGGAGAGACTGCAATGCGTTTTTGTCGAGGGAACCCATGCGCAGCTTACTTCCGGGTTTTAGGACGTGTCACTGCACCACTCTATAGGTCTCAGATATATCCAGAACCTGTCTCTGATTGGCTGAAACACCAAACAGATCATTGCAGCATTACCCATAATCCCCTCTGTTTCAGCCCTGTTTCCAAAGTGCTGATTCTCTGTCTGTTACTTCAGATGAAAATAAGGAGCCCCTCCCCACGCCCCTCTGAGAGAGATTTGGTTACAAAGAACTCAATGGTGCTCTAGGAGGAGATTCAGGTGATAAGGTGGGGGGGGGGGGGGTTACCTTGGTTGCTGATTGGCTAATGGTTACACAAGACAACACATCGTTATGACATCATCAAGTGGCTAAAATCTGATCAGCTCATTTTCAGACAGGTTTTTATAGAAATGGATCAGGACGAAAGGGATTTTGCATTGAAGGTTACATCAGGTCTGTGTGCAGGCAATAAAGAAAATATTGAATTATTAATCCACTAAATCTTTTACCCAGATGCTGACTTTACATCTCAGACCAGAGGAAACACTTTATGGATGAGTTTCTGCATCTCTACTGAGTTTTTGTAATGCTCTTATACGGTATAAATATGCATGAATAAGAACATGTGTATGGAACAGCTGATCACCTTCAGATGCTGCAGCGCTCTCTTGTCGTCCTCCAGCTGTCGCTTCTTGTTCTCAATCTCCGTCTGCCACTTCCTCTTCTCCTGAGGCATGATTCACACACAGGTAAAGCTATTAGCATAGCAAACAAATCAACCCAAAGATACAAATACTAAAAGGCTAAGTACGAGATTTGTTCAAAAGCGTTTCACGTTGATAATTGTCACGTCTCTGTGCTCCTGTCACCAATAATATACATTTCATAATTTTAAAGTTACACAGTATGTAGATATCTCTGTGTTTAAAGAATGTAGTCCTCATTACGATGATGAAGCAGCTACTACGTTAGCGTAGCACTAGCGTTTTAAAAGCTGGTTGCTTGTCAAAGAATGAATTCAGACTTCCTACGAATCCGAATCGAGGTATTTCTGCATCCTTTTGATACCTTTATTGATAATAAATCAGAGCAGAATATGATTATTTATTGGCTTATTTCTCGATATGTAACCAGATTAATTCAGTTAATAAACATACTTGATCATGCAGAGTGACGCAAGTCCAAAATCAGCTTCATTTGGTGTGAAAACAGCGCAATGTCACACAATTTCCTGAGACTCTTATTCTGAAATGCTACTTCCTGTCTACAGTCTACTCATAAGCACTATCAAATACACACACACACACACACACACACACACATTAGTCATAATATATGATACACAACAGTTGAGTTATACAGGAAGTCGATAAGTCTGTGTGTGTGTGTGTGTGTGTGTGTGTGTGTGTGTGTGTGTGTGTGTGTGTGTGTGTGTGTGTGTGTGTGTGTGTGTGTGTGTGTGTGGATCGATAAGTCCATTAGTGAGAGAGCTTGGGGAATGATGGAGGGTGTGTCTGCAGGTTTAAATATCTGCTGCAGTCTGAGGTTTGATATCAGACATGTGTATTAATACATGTCTGTGTGTATCTATATACATGTGTGTGTTTCAACATGTGTGTGTGTGTGTGGTGTGTTCACTGACAGAGTGTAAATAAGACTCACTGCGAGCAGCAGCTGTCGGTCCTGAGCTTCACCGACCCTGAGAGACAGACAGATGTTAGAAAATAAAGATTAATAATAATTATAAGATTTTCAGTTTATTATTATTTGCATCATCAGGTCTGAGGCCAAACCCACTGGACGTCACCATCTTGGTTTTTGGAAGCATAATCACAAAAATGTACGTTTTTTGGACTATAATTTACTGAATGAACATCACACTGTTTTGGAGAAGACTTGAAGACCATCAACTCATCAGGAAAATGTTTACTGAGGTAATAAATCAAGAGAGAAGTAGGAACATTTCCTCATAGACTTCTCTACAATCTGAGGTAATACAGAGAGAGAGAAGTAGGAACATTTCCTCATAGACTTCTCTACAATCTGAGGTAATACAGAGAGAGAGAAGTGAGAACATTTCCTCATAGACTTCTATACAATCTGAGGTAATACAGAGAGAGAGAGAAGTGAGAACATTTCCTCATAGACTTCTCTACAATCTGAGGTAATACAGAGAGAGAGAAGTGAGAACATTTCCTCATAGACTTCTCTACAATCTGAGGTAATACAGAGAGAGAGAGACGTGAGAACATTTCCTCATAGACTTCTATACAATCTGAGGTAATACAGAGAGAGAGAAGTGAGAACATTTCCTCATAGACTTCTATACAATCTGAGGTAATACAGAGAGAGAGAGAAGTGAGAACATTTCCTCATAGACTTCTCTACAATCTGAGGTAATACAGAGAGAGAGAAGTGAGAACATTTCCTCATAGACTTCTATACAATCTGAGGTAATACAGAGAGAGAGAGAAGTGAGAACATTTCCTCATAGACTTCTCTACAATCTGAGGTAATAAAGAGAGAGAGAAGTAGGGACATTTCCTCATAGACTTCTATACAATCTGAGGTAATACAGAGAGAGAGAAGTAGGAACATTTCCTCATAGACTTCTATACAATCTGAGGCAATAAATCAAGAGAGAAGTGAGAACATTTCCTCATAGACTTCTCTACAATCTGAGGTAATACAGAGAGAGAGAAGTAGGGACATTTCCTCATAGACTTCTCTACAATCTGAGGTAATACAGAGAGAGAGAAGTGAGAACATTTCCTCATAGACTTCTATACAATCTGAGGTAATACAGAGAGAGAGAAGTAGGAACATTTCCTCATAGACTTCTATACAATCTGAGGTAATACAGAGAGAGAGAAGTAGGGACATTTCCTCATAGACTTCTCTACAAATAGGACGCATCTGATCAGCTGATGTTCGACTCACAGAGCTCCTGTTGATCTAAAAGCTGCAGCCTGACTGTCACATGAGCGTTAGCCGCTAGCTGTTAGCTCGCTGCTACTGAAGCTCTCTTTGTTTACAGAGCGTGGAGGATTCACATTTTATTACTCTGTGTTTGTGAGGCAGGAATGTGTTTAACAGATAACATCACAACTCAGCTTCAGGATGCTTCAAGCTGAACAGAACTACAAAATAAAATAATAATAATACATTTCATTTATATAGCACTTTAAAAACAACGTCATCTCAAGGTGCTTCACAATGCTATAACAAAATAAGAGCGTAGCTGCAGCTGAGGATAAGTATAAAGAGAGTTTTGAGAAGAACTTCAGAATAAGAGCGTAGCTGTACCTGAGCATTAGAATAAAGAGATGTGATCAAACCTTCACAATAAGAGCGTAGCTGCAGCTGAACATTAAAATAAAGAGTTGTGCTCAGAACTTCAGAATAAGAGCGTAACAGCAGCTGAACATTAGAATAAAGAGGTGTAAATAGAACTTCAGAATAAGAGCGTGGCTGTAACTTAACATCTGAATAAAATTGAAAGACACGGGAGCATAACTTCAGAATAAGAGTGTAGCTGCAGCTGATTATTAGACATTAAACAGGACTTCAGAATAAGAGCGTATCAGCAGCTGAACACTAGAATTAAGACAAGTGAGCAGAACTTCAGAATAAGAGCGTGGCTGCAACTGAAAATCGGATTAAAGAAATGTGCAAAGAACTTCAAAATAAGAGCGTAGCTTCCACTAAACATCTGAATAAAATTGAAAGACGAGTAAGCAGAACTTCAGAATAAGAGTGTAGCTGCAGCTGATTATTAGACATTAAACAGGACTTCAGAATAAGAGCGTATCAGCAGCTGAACATTATAAAGGAAATCTTCAAAATAAGAGCGTAGCTTCAATTTAACATCTGAATAGAATTAAAAGAAATTTGAGCAGGACTTCCGAATAAGAGCGTATCAGCAGGTGAACATTAGAATAAAGAGATGTGAGCAGAATTTCAGAATAAGAGCGTGGCTAAAACCAAACATTAGAATTACATAGATGTGAGCAGAATTTCAGAATAAGAGTGTGGCTAAAAACCAAACATTAGAATAAAGAGTTGTGAGCAGAATTTCAGAATAAGAGCGTGGCTAAAAACCAAACATTAGAATAAAGAGTTGTGAGCAGAATTTCAGAATAAGAGCGTGGCTAAAAACCAAACATTAGAATAAAGAGTTGTGAGCAGAATTTCAGAATAAGAGCGTATCAGCTACTGAACATTATAATAAAGAGATGTGAGAAGAATTTCAAAGTAAAAGCGTTGCTAAAACTAAATATTAGTATAAAGAGACGTGAGCAGAATTTCAGAATAAAAGCGTGGCTGAAACCAAACATTAGTATAAGAGACATGAGCAGAATTTCAGAATAAAAGTGTGGCTAAAACCAAACATTAGTATAAAGAGACGTGAGCAGAATTTCAGAATAAGAGCGTGGCTAAACTCTGCTGAGCTCCACAGTTTCTGAACTCAAAGGATCCTGAACACAAAGCTGCAGCTCGTCTCCATGGAGACCGGAGCACACGGCAGAGAATCTGAAGCAGACTGGGAGCTCTGCAGCGTATATTATGGGATGTTCACCACACTGTTGTTGTGAACCAGAAACTCTGTGAAAACCTACAAAATTAAGAGGAATTAAAAGTCAATGGAATACTTTTTAAATTGGTCCAAAGTGAAAGAGGAATGAGAACTCCAGTGACCTTTATTATGGGGTTTTAAGTATGAAAACAATGGGTCCAATGTCACTGATTCCATATTATTTCAGCCAGTATTTACCTGATATCTGATGTTATATGAAAAGGTAACGGGTCAGACCAAGGTTATACTACAGTACATTTGTAAAAAACTATTTACTTTTAGTATGGTTTCCACAATATTTCCCCAAATTAGTTTAAAGGTCACCTACAGTATCATGCTATTTTTAGGCAATAGCATAGGTCTCAGATATATAAAAATATATAAAAAACATGTCTATGAAGTGTTTTGCTCAAAATACCAAACAGATCACCCATTCTAGCCATGCCTCATATCCCTCTATTTCACTTCCTGTTTCAAAAGTGCTGATTTGGGGTATAAAGCATTTTTTTTTAAAAATGTGATAAAAAAAAAGGAGGGTTCTGAGCTCATGCGGGACCCGGCAGCTACTGTCTAAACTAAATGCTGCCGTGATGAAACGCCATATCATGGATTATCAAGGATTATTTCTGAAACAGTATGGAGCTCAAAGGCTTTCTCTCTTGCCGGTTATACCACAAGGTGAGTTCCTTTTGATTTCCTGCTTCTTCACACACATGCTCTCCAGTACAGGTTAGCTCTGAGTGTTAGCGATGCTAATGTAAACACCGACCATATTACGTCCAAAACAGACGGGCATTGTTTCTGATAGCAACTTTCTGATAGTGCCGTGGGTCCACATCTCAGATATTACGTCATATCGGACGCAAATCTGGATCAGCTCCGTTGTATCCCCGTTTTTAGAGATTTGGGTACGGAGGAAAAGAGAGGGTTTTATTTTCTGACGCTGCGTGAGTTCCCTGACACACCGGGGACACATATTGATGTATAAGAGACATCAAAAAATGCATTTTGCATGATAGGTCCCCTTTAAGTTTGAGTCTAGAATAATAACCCTGGATCTCACGACAGAGACTCCGAATGTATTTATTTAAATACAAAATGATGTTTAGCACGTTGAGCTGCATTGTTGTTATGAACCGTGCAATATTAATATTTTTTTAAATAATAAGAATGTCTAAAAGTCGAATAAATAAAGAATACACACATGTGCAAATATAAACACAAATACACCAAATACTGAGAAATAACTATTACAATTTGTATTTTTTAAATGTATTTCTATGCATATAATTTAAAATGTATTGTATAGCATATCAAACATTTATTTTTCAATTTTATTTGTATATGTTACTTATTTATTCTTAACCCTTTTTATAATATTTTCCTTATTTTGTTGTATATATTTGTACACGTTTTTCTTTTACCAATGTATTCTTTTCTTATTGCACGCTGTCCAAATAGGGTTTATCATTAGAACTAGTTTTAATAGCATTAGTAATAGTGATAGTAATAGTGCCTGGACACGAGGGTGGAGGACCATGTGACCGGAAGTAGTTCTTCTTGATTGATGATGAATCGGCTCCTTTAGAGCAGAGGCGGATCGATATGTAATTAGAGGCTCATCGATGAGATGTCGCCTCTGCTTCCACCCAGAAAAGTAGAGCAGAGAGACTCCGCCCAGATTTAATATCAATATAATCATAATAATCATAATAATATAATGAACCCTTTCCGGTCCGCGTGCAGACACACCTTCATCTCTCCGTTTAAAACCCTATTTTTTCTAGTGGATTTTGGTGCAATTTGACTCCTTTCAGACACACTATTAAGCGTTATTTTATTGGCTTATTGTACCTATTTTTCTAATGGGTTTTGGTGCAGCTTGACATTCACTGACCGCATCACCACACGGTCATTTCTCCTCCTATTTGACTGCTTTTTCTGGCGGATTTTGGTGCAGCTTGAGCAGCCTATCCATTGGCCATCTCTTGTCTTATTTGACCAATTGTTCTAATTGACTTTGCTGCAGTCTGCCTCTTAATGAATGCATTACCACATGGTCACCTCTCGGCTTATTATATTGTCTTTTCTAATGGACTTTTGAGCAGCTTGACTTTCACTGTCCTACACACACCCACACCTCAATCTCTCGGTTTATTTGACCACTTTTTCTAATGGACTTTTGTGCAGTCTGACTCTTAATTACCACATTATCAAACAGTCATCTTGTGGCTTATTCTACTAGTTATTCTAATGGAATTTGATGCAGCTTGATACCCTATTATTCGGCAAGCTGTACGCATTGTTGTGCATGGACTTCGGTGCAGTTTGAGTCTCAATAACGACACTATTACACGGTCATCTCTCCTTTTGTTTCCCTCGTTTTTCCGCTGGGCTTTGGTGCAGACTGACAGCCTATCACGGGGCTCATCTCCGCTTATTCCAGCCCTTTTTCTAATTGAATCTGGGGCATCTGGACTCCATCTATTGGGTACATTCTCTCCTTTTTCGGATGGACTTTGTGCATCTTGACTCTCACTGAGCACACTGTCCTCCTGCACACACCCACACCTCCATCCCTCCTCTCGTTTCACTCCCTTTTCTCCCTGATTTAGGTGCAGTTTCGCCCCCACTGACCCCCCCCCCCACATCACTCGGTCATTTCTGGGTTTGGATTCCTGATTTTCCTCCAGGACTTTGGTGCAGTTTGTGCGCAGTGTTTCCCGGTAAAGAGGCTCCTGACTCAGCGGTCTGATGCCGCACAATGACGACACACGGGAGCGCGCACCACATGCCCACGCACATTAAAGTCGCCCCCCACGCCACAAAGACAGAAAATATAAAACACACGAAGAAGAAGAAGAGGGAGAAATATTAATAAGAGATTCAGAATCAAAGTGTACTCACTCCATGTTAGGGTGCAGATCAGTCCGCTGCAGCCCGAATCAACTGATCTGCATCCGAGAGAGAAAAGAGACCCGCCCACTGGGGGGTGAGGGGGGGGGGGGGGGGGGGGGGGGGGGGGGGTAGTATCTGAGGGGAGGGGGGGCAAATGTGTCCTCTGAGCAGGGGAGAAGTACTCAGTTCTAGTATTTTAGTAAAAGTACTCAGATCTGGTAATTGAGTAAAAGTAGAAGTACTCAGATATTGTACTTGAGTAAAAGTACTCAGGTCTTGTACTTGAGTAAAAATAGAAGTACTCAGATCGTGTATTTGAGTAAAAGTAGAAGTACTCAGGTCTTGTACTTTAGTAAAAGTAGAAGTACTCAGGTCTTGTACTTGTGTAAAAATAGAAGTACTCAGATCGTGTATTTGAGTAAAAGTAGAAGTACTCAGATCTTGTACTTGAGTAAAAGTACTCAGGTCTTGTACTTGAGTAAAAGTAGAAGTACTCAGGTCTTGTACTTTAGTAAAAGTAGAAGTACTCAGATCTTGTACTTTAGTAAAAGTAGAAGTACTCAGATCTAGTACTTGAGTAAAAGTAGAAGTACCAGAGTGTAGGAATACTCTGTTACAGTAAAAGTCCTGCGTTCAAAATGTTCCTCAAGTAAAAGTATAAAAGTATTATCATCAAAATATAGTGAAAGTAGCGACAGTAAAAGTAGTCATTGTGCAGATTGGTCCATTTCAGAATAATATATATGATATGTTTTATAATGATTGATCATGAAAGTGTTCTCAAAGCTGGTAAAGGTGCAGCTAGTTTGAATGACTTTGTATACTGCAGGGTAGCTTGTGGATTTACTCCAGGTGGAACTAAAGTCTGATTTAACACTTGATTATATTTCACATCATTCATCCACATCTGTGAAGTAACTAAAGGGATTAAATACATGTAGTGGAGGAAAAGTACACAGTAGGAAAACATGGAAATCCTCAAGTAAAGTACAAGAACCTCAAAAGTGTACTTAAGTTCAGTACTTGAGTAAATGTACTTAGTTACTTTTAACCACTGGGACGGACAAAACAATATATAATATATCATAATAATAAATATTATAATTATAATGATTATCAGTTCATCAGTGAGCGTTGTGTTTGCGCTGTGAGTCCAGCAGAGGGCGACATCACACAGCGCTTCATTAAATAAGTCATATGTAGCAAAGTGAAGAGGAACTGAACTTTTACAGGTAATCATTTTATAATGTTATAACATGTTGATTTATTTGACAAAGACCACTTATCAATTCGTTTTGGATTTAAAATCTTCATGAATTACAGAAACTGGTTTAACTCATGTGGATTTTCACAATAAAACACACTGCAGACATTGATAAAGGGCTACTTTTATTTTGAAAGAATCATTACAATTAGTGTTTCAATACACATATTACCTGTGTGTGTGTGTGTGTGTGTGTGTGTGTGTGAGAATATTATCAAAATAAAACCACATCTTTAACACATTCATGGCCTACAGTCTTCGGTCTGATTAAAAAACAAAACTGATCGGGGATCAATAATAAAGTTGAGATTTTATGAAAACAAAGTCGTTATTTTGAGACAAAAATCGTATTTTTTTAGAATTTCAATCAGATTTGTGTCTTTATGTGTGAGTGTGTGTGTGTGTCTGTGTGTTTCTCTCTGTGTGTGTGTCTCTGTCTGTGTTTCTCTCTGTGTGTGTTTCTGTCTGTGAGAGTGTGTGTGTACATTATTTTATAAGTGATAAAAAAAAGCCCAAATATGACAATTTGATTTTTAAACGTACAGGAATAAAAATCAAAAATATTCCCAGAAAAAGTCATTTTATTTTCTTAAAATGAAACTGTATTTTTTAGGATTTATCTCCAAACCTGACTTTGATTCTCTAAATGTCAACTTTATTTAAATAACATTACAATCTCTGAATGTTCTGGTTGAAATCGTGCAGGAACAGTCTTTACTTAACGATAATTATCCAGATAAACTTAAATTAACCCTAACCCTAAGATCAGACCGTTTGTGTGTTTCAGCCCTCTAAAAGTTTACTGATAAATAAACTTTAAATTTAAGCGAATAATGAAGCTCGAGCTCGTACCAGAGTTCAGACTCGGGATCAAAATGCAGGCGAGACATTTGTAGAAAGGAAAGAAATTAAAATAAATAAATAAGTTAAAGATTGAAATGTGTTTGTTTTTTTTAGAGCCCATTGGCAGAAATTGAAATTAATAAAATGACGGTCAAGTTTTATATTTGTGGTTCGAAATAACACATTTAACACTTATTAATATAATGTTTCCCCATTTAACCGTCTGGAAAAGAACTACAACTCCCATCAAGCTAAGAAACATCCAATCAGAGGGCTTCACTCTCTGTTACCAGGCAGATTAACTCGTTGGATCAATTCAGAAATGTCAACATTTACTTTTAGATTGTGGATCAGCAGCTGTGCACAGAACAGCCGAGGCTCATGGGTAATGTAGTCTGCTGCTGAGAAAGTGAAACTCGTGATACCTTAGCATGCAGTCGTGTTTTAAAACAGAAATCTGTTTAAAGGCAACGTGTGGTCCCAAACGTCGTGAGGACATTCAAACTCTGCTGGATCAGAACTTTATTAACAGTTACCTCACTGACACTAACGAGGAGATACTCTGCAGACATCGCGTCACTAACGAGGAGATACTCTGCAGACATCGCGTCACTAACGAGGAGATACACTGCAGACATCGCGTCACTAACGAGGAGATACTCTGCAGACATCGCGTCACTAACGAGGAGATACACTGCAGACATCGCGTCACTAACGAGGAGATACACTGCAGACATCGCGTCACTAACGAGGAGATACCCTGCAGACATCGCGTCACTAACGAGGAGATACACTGCAGACATCGCGTCACTAACGAGGAGATACACTGCAGACATCGCGTCACTAACGAGGAGATACTCTGCAGACATCGCGTCACTAACGAGGAGATACACAGCAGACATCGCGTCACTAACGAGGAGATACACTGCAGACATCGCGTCACTAACGAGGAGATACACTGCAGACATCGCGTCACTAACGAGGAGATACACTGCAGACATCGCGTCACTAACGAGGAGATACTCTGCAGACATCGCGTCACTAACGAGGAGATACACTGCAGACATCGCGTCACTAACGAGGAGATACTCTGCAGACATCGCATCACTAACGAGGAGATACTCTGCAGACATCGCGTCACTAACGAGGAGATACTCTGCAGACATCGCATCACTAACGAGGAGATACTCTGCAGACATCGCGTCACTAACGAGGAGATACACTGCAGACATCGCGTCACTAACGAGGAGATACTCTGCAGACATCGCGTCACTAACGAGGAGATACTCTGCAGACATCTCGTCACTAACTCTCAGATACACAAAATATCAGATAAAGATATCGTAGGCTAAGATAAAGAGTGCATAACTATGACATAAAATTGCATAATTGTGCGATAAAGGCAACTAAGGAATAACAATCTTATTATAAGGACGGAATAAAGATTGTGTAAATGCAATATAAACATCTCAGCAATTTATTTTGGACTTTTTGGATTTAAATAAATGTAAATTACAAATGATCTTTTTAATTTTATTGACTCAGCTGAATACGGTATTGTTTATTGTCTGTGCTAAATGTTCCGAGCTTATTATAACAGTTAAAATTTGAATCCAGAAGTCAGAGTAAGAAATAAAAACTGCTTTTATAAAATGAAGCCACATGGAGACGTTAGCCTTTTAGCTAACGTGCTAATGTCCTGATCCAGCAGAGAGACAGGAAGTGACAGGAAGTGACAGGAAGTGACCCGTGCAGGGATGTCACACAGGTGCAGGAAATGTAAAAGAGAAGTCCCAAAACCTTGTCTTCCTGTTGCAACGCCCTTCAAAATAAGAGTGTGTGAAATAAGCCAGAGTCCTGCAGCGGGTCGGGAAACCTCAGAAACTTTTATAACCGGTCAAAAACATAATTAATGGATTTTAAAAACAAACTCAACTTCATGCTACATTAAGTTTTATTAGCTTATTATTAAACTCAACCTGACGCCAAGATCTCCTTTATTTTGGCGGGGTATCAAAGCAAATCTCCCCTCGGCTGAATTTGAAATGTTTTGTTACTGCTGCAGTTTTGGCCCCCGGTGCAGGACTCTGGACTGAGCATGCTCAACAGAAAAAGGGGGGCGGGGCTCAGAGGCTCCGAGGCTCCTCTGATTGGTCAGGATGTAACCATGGCGACAGACGGGAGTCTCAGAACTCGACCTTGCAGGCGGGGAAGGTCTCCTCCTGCATGGCGACCGTGCTGTTGCTGCCCAACACGGTGATGCTCAGCTCCCTCTGCCGCTCGTGGGTCTCCTGGTACCACTCGTGCATCGCCAGCGAATCAAAGGTCGGGATCAGGGTCACCTGAGAAGGAGAGAGCCAATCAGAGGACAGAGCATAAGGCAATACAGAGTTGTGCAGGATGTGGTGTTTCTGTGATGGTCCCTGAAGGCAGCATCTCCTAAGTTGTGTCAAGTCTCTTTCTTTCAAAGTTTCCCCCAAAAAGTGTGTGTGCGTGTGCATGTGTTTGAGTATGAGTGTGTGTTTGTCTCTCTGTGTGTGTGTGTGTGTGTGTGTGTCTGTGTGTGTGTGTAGTGTGTGTGTGGTGTGTGTGGTGTTTGTGTCT